TTACGCGGAGGCGATAGAGGGTCCCTACTCCTCTCAGTGGCAGGCAGCTATGGACACAGAGATGGCTTCCTGGAAGTCCACAGGCACCTACGTTGACGAGGTTCCCCCGCCTGGGGCGAACATCGTCAGTGGCATGTGGATTTTCAGGGTGAAGCGACCGCCGGGTTCTCCACCTGTCTTCAAGGCACGTTACGTGGCTCGTGGCTTCAGTCAGCGGCAGGGAGTTGACTACTTTCAGACCTTCTCTCCCACCCCGAAGATGACCACTCTTCGGGTACTGCTGCACATAGCTGCTCACCGCGACTACGAGCTGCACTCTCTTGACTTCAGCACTGCTTTCTTGCAGGGCAGCCTGCACGAGGAGATCTGGCTGCGTCGCCCACCTGGCTTCACTGGGTCTTTTCCTCCTGGCACGCAGTGGAGCCTCCGGCGGCCAGTCTACGGTCTCCGCCAGGCACGGCGTGAGTGGCACGACACACTGAGGACTACACTTGCGGCTCTTGGGTTTGCTCCCTCTACTGCCGACCCGTCGCTGTTTCTGCGCACCGACACTTCTTTGCCGCCGTTCTACATCCTCGTGTACGTCGACGACTTGGTCTTTGCCACAGCTGACACTGCTGGACTCGCCCACGTGAAGTCCGAGCTGCAGAAGAGACACACGTGCACAGACCTGGGTGAACTGCGCAGCTACCTTGGCTTGCAGATCACCCGGGACAGAGCACGCCGCACCATTACCCTGACTCAGTCACACATGGTGCAGCAGGTCCTTCAGCGCTTCGGCTTCACGTACTCCTCGCCTCAGGCCACTCCTCTGCCTACTCGCCACTCGCTCTCAGCTCTGCCTTCGGATGAGTCCGTAGAGTCGAGTGGCCCGTACCCAGAGCTTGTTGGCTGCCTCATGTACCTGATGACCTGCACACGACCTGACCTCGCATACCCTCTTAGCATTCTCGCACGCTATGTTGCTCCTGGGAGACACAGACCGGAGCACATGGCTGCAGCGAAGATGGTGTTGCGTTACTTGTGCAGTACGTCGGGCATGGGGCTTGTGCTTGGAGGGCAGAGTCCAGTGGTCCTCACTGGGCACGCAGACGCTTCTTGGGCTGACGACCAGGCTACGCAGCGGTCGTCACAGGGTTACACCTTCAGCCTTGGTTCAGGCTCTGTTTCGTGGCGGGCTACCCGCTCGTCTTCTGTTCTCGGCTCCAGTTGTGAGGCTGAGATCTACGCCGGGGCCATGGCTGCACAGGAGCTTCCTTGGCTCACCTACCTGCTGACTGACCTCGGAGAGCCGCCTCGTTCTCCTCCAGTGCTGTACGTAGACAACAAGGCCATGCTGGCCTTGTGTCGAGAGCAGAGACTGGAGCACAGAACGAAGCACATTGCTCTCCGCTACTTCCTTGCTCGTGAGCTACAGCAGCGTGGTCAGCTGCGGCTTGCGTACGTGGCCTCTCAGGCCAACACTGCTGATATCTTCACCAAGGCACTTGCGCCTTGTGATCATCAGCGCTTCTGTACTCAGCTGGGTCTTGTGCCTTCCTTGCCTCACTTGCTCACCCCTTGACCTTGTTTGTACTGTTCTTGATTGTCTAGCCTTATATATATATGTAATCCTGCATGTGAACTGGCCTTGTGGCCTTGAACTTGTGCTCGGAATGTGTGGTGACTTTGTGATCCACCCTGAGCTTGCTTTGCTTTGCTTGACTGGTCTTGTGACCCCTTGTTCTCCCCCACTTTGCCTATGGGGGTGTGTCAGATTTATATGACATAGCTACTGTAGGCTATAGTGGGGTAGCACATATGGGGTACAGTTTTCTAGGGTTTACATTTTGTATCCAACTTTCCCTTAGTCATTTCTCATTCCTCGTTTCTTCTCATTCGGTTCCTGTCGTTCGTATTGGTTCATAACCACTGCAACTTGCTCGAGGGGCTTGTAATGTGGGTGCAACTGGCTGGTAAAAAGAACACGGGTGCAGACTTTCCATCTAGTACAGGGCAAATTCGCGCGCAGGGGTTGAGCATCGTGTGTACATTCATTTTTTGTGACGCGAGATTGACAAAATGTTTCGACGCGACTCGGGAAAAAGAGGGATTGAGACACAAATGTCGACACAGGAATGCGCCCTTAGAACCTGCTCCTAGCGCCAAGAAACCCCTAGAGAAAGCTAGAATCCTGGGCTGGAGCTTCATCAACGTTGTTCAGCAAATGGAGAGAGCTGATCATGTTGGGCTGAAAACCCTTCACAAAAGTGAGTTAGGGCGCGGAACATTTGGAAATTTGCAAATTTTCCCGTACGGAAGCCCAGAGTTGCGTACCGTCGTCCGGTTTGGTCCCAACCGGACGACGGTTCGGACCAGACCTCGTCCAAAGCTGAAGTTGGAACATTTGAATGGGTTTACGATTTGGGAATTCGAACGTCGCCACAGACGACTGGCGACGTCGTATTCAGGTTTGGCCCTCGTGCATGCGACATTCGGGATTGACCCTCAATTTGGGGGGAATTCGGCGATGTCGCCAGACACTGACAGGATGCCCCAAATGCAGTCGCGCGATGACTGTAGATCTGAGTTCCGAACAGGGCTGTCGTTTCGTTTTGGGCCCCCCGGACTAATCAGGGGGCCCGGCATGTACGACCCTGTATTTAGTAGGGTAGGGGCAAATCTCGGCCCTTTAGGCTTCAGGGCTGAGATTTTTTCCTCCCTGTAAATCAGGTTTGGCGCGAAAATTCTGCAGCCTCATTTCTATCACAAAGGTAACAGCTGCACTCCGCAAGTATTGCAAAAAGCAGAGACTACATTAAAAAAAAAACTAGTAAGCGTCATTCACTACGCACGCTTAACAGACTTCCTCCCCTTCCAACTCTTAGCAGGGATCTGTGATGTGTTTTGCTGCTGCTATGCCGATTCATGTCTGCTGGTGCACTGCACGACGGGATCTGAGATGTGTTTTGCTGCTGCTGTGCTGATTCATGCTGCTGCCTGTGTCATGGCATGGGAGCGAGGTTGTGATTGGCGCAAGTACCAGTTGTAGGTTGAGTTGAATCTGTGGCCCAGCCACGCAACTCCAGATTTGCCAGGTTTTAATGCAATCAAGATAGAAACGGGGGGAGGGGGAGTGGAGGAGTTTGGGGGGAAGGGGGGGGAAGGGGTGGGAGGTGGGATTCGAAAGATTTTGTTCCAGGGCTCACCCAAAATATACCCTTAACACTCCAGGCCTAAGCCCATAATCAGCCCTGTAAGGAATCAGGGCCAGAACATTTTCAACCCATCAATTCCAGGTTTCAAGGGCAACCCAGCCCTGGAATTCAAGGTCCAGCAGGGCAAACGCCCTGCAAGCGACAGGCCTGGTCCCGAACGTAGTAAAACAGCTTGTTCGGACCTTTGTCATGGTGGGCAAACGGCCGGATGTTCCAACAGTCGTCCGAGTCCTGGCGATGTCGCAAAACCTCTCACGAACCCTTCAACGAAAATCTTCGAAAAGGGAAACCACACCGAGTTTCGAACGACGCTCTGGTTCGAACGGGTCAAATTTCGAATGTTCCGCGCCCTTAGGGCGTGTCTGGCAAGACCGTACGGTACGTTTTTAAATCATGCATTACTGATCAGACTGGTGGGTGGAGGTTCAAAGCGGTAGTGACAGGCAAATCGCTCTTGAAGGCTCCTGCACCACAGCATCTTTTTCCATCGCGACGAAGTCCGACCCGTTCTATGTAATTTGTCCAACCTCTCTATTAGCATACGGTGGATTGAACATGTGAAATATGGTATTCAGCAAATAAAACTCAAACTACTTACAAATCACGATGGCATGCAAGCGCATACTATGACGTCATCACACGACCCTGTCCAGGGCCTCCATGAGGTTCATTTTTCTACCAAAATCACAGATGGTGTCAACCACGTGCCCACCCTTGAAAATCTTCGCGAGGGGGACGTCCCGGATGTCGTACGAGGCGCGCACACGGGGACTCTCTTCGATGTCTAGCTTGTAAAAGGCGACCCTTCCAGAATAATCCGCAGCGAGCTCGTCAATGGACGGAGCGGCATACCTGCACGGGCCGGACCATGGAGCCCAGAAGAAGACGAGCACTGGAAGCTCACTTTCCGAAACGAGGCTCGAAAAGCTGTCATCCGTCACGGGCGTCGCCATTAGAAGCTAAGCGCCGAGACACAAACCCTCACGCTTAATTCCAACGTAAAGGACCTGCTGGTAGCAGGCTGGGACAACAGGACCTTGGCGGCAAACGGATATCAGCTAACTGGCAGTCGGAGTAATGAGATAACAATTCTAGATCTGCCGAGCGACCAGAGCACTTATGGCAGTCACATAACGCCCCCCCAGCCAGCCTGGCGCGGGTGGCCTGGGGGGGACGCTATGGAATGTCTTCTCCGCAAAGTCGAGACGCTCGCAACAAGAGCGAAGCGCATTGTTGGTTGGAAGGAATCATGCTCCCATCCCCAGCCAGGAGAGTGGAAGGTTGGCGGAGCGAGCAGCCTGGTAGGCGGAGAGCGGGGGTAGTGTCATTAGGACGTCATCATCGCCGTCAGTGATCGGTAAGGTGGAGTTTTGAGTGCGGTGTACTGTGGTGAGCAGGAGTGAGGTGCGGTCCAAGTGATGTCCTGGCGACGGTCAAGAAAACTCACAAGGTAGGATGGACTTGACCAGGTCGACGATGACTGTGGGAAGGGAAGGTGTGGCGGCTCGCCACTGACGGAGGGCGGCGATACATGCGACGTGCCAGTCCACCAGTGGCGGAAGTTAGTTACGCAATCCAACAAAGTAGTTGCATACGCGCAACATCCGCTAATAAGAGATAGGAACATATGTGCCAGCACAGTGCAACGCATATGTGGATATCTTCAAACCATAACATATTTTAAATAACTGAAGCAACATGACAGCACAACACGGTGTCTCCTCCCCTATCCCTCATTGTAACATATATGCGTAATCCACGCTATAGCCTAAAACCCTTGTTTACAACGGTCTAACCTGCACATCACTTGGTTTGGAAGATATTTTGGATCATAGGCCGTGGCACCTCAGCAGCAGCGTCATCCAAAGCTGCAACCTCATTGGACGACAGCCGCCAGCCAAGCGCTCCCAGATTTTCCTTGGCTTGCTCGACGGTCTTCGCTCCTGGGATGGGGACTGTGCCCTTGGCCATGCACCAGTTGATCGCTACCTGTTAACATGATAGGCAAGAACAGATACATGCACGTTGATTTGATGTGGTCTTGGCTCCTGGTATGGGACCTGTGCCCTTGGCCATGCACCAGTTTATCGCCACCTGGTGACATGGTAGGCAGGTGGAGCATATACAGATGTCACAGGGAAAAGACACACCCAAATGCTTCCATGTGGGGTTGATTCGTGGGTTAGGAACCAGGCCTTGCCCTTGGCCATGCAACAGTTGCTTGCTATGCTTTAGATATTTGCCACGTGTTTAGTGAAAATAATTGGGATTGAGACACTGTGCGATGGAGCAGAAAAGCAGGTTGGAGAGCAGAGCAGTTAAAAGAAGACACAGCATCACAGGTAGGAAGGGGAATGCGGGGCATGAACTCATGTAGAGAACGAAGATAGGGATAATATAAGTCTCAAAATGGACTTGCCTGGGGCAGAGTTTTGTTTCGCTTTTCCCCGATTTCCGTCATGAGGCCAAGAAGAGGGTCCAGGCCGGGCAGCAGTTGTTGGAACAAAATACCTCTGGATTGAGAATAAGAAACAGGTGTGGGGGAAGGGGGAGGAAGGTTGGGGGGGTGTTAGACAGGAGAGAGGGTGGGCAAGGTTGACAAAACTTGGGGGGGAGGGGAGGGGTCAGTAGTGCACAGATGAAACAAGGGAGGGTGCAAGAGAATGCAGAATAGCCACATGATGGGATGGAATGTGATGTGCATGGTCAAATGAGTGGCGGCATGGTTGCTTGAGTGGCTGCAGTGCGTAAATGACATGCCAGCGTGACTGTGCGGCTGTGCTGTGCCATGCATTTCGCGGCAGAATGGTAAGGCTATTGAAACAGCTGTAATGGTGTTACTTCTGAGAATTCTCAGAAGTATACCAAGTCAGCACGACCGTGCCATGCATTCCGTCATCAGAATGGCAAGGCTTGGGAAACAGCATAGTACGCAGCGCCTGAGCTGTGGCAAGAGACTTAGCAAGCACCTTGGGCCTTGCGGCAGGTTGTCAGCACTGTATTTTCCTGAGAGCACGCCGAGAGCGAGAGGGGAGTATGCTATAACGCGGATGCCATTGGCCTCACAGAAGGCCAGCAGATCGTCCTGCTCTTCACCCGAGCTCAGGAGGGAGAATTGCACCTGGTGGCACGGAATGGATGGATGGTTGGACGGATGGATGGTTGGACGGATGGATGGGTGCGTGGGTGGGTGAATGGGTGGGTGGATGGATGGGTGGGTGTTTGAACTGAGGGCACACAAGGTTACGAATGGTTGGTTCCATGAAGGAAACCTGAAGAAAGGAGTACGAGGCGATGACTTCCACGCTATGGCATGAAGGAGCTCAAAGGCTCGTGAGCAGTCACTTTAAAGAATGCTCAAAAGCGAGTGGTGATTGCTACGCTATGGCATGAAGAGACATGTAGGAACCTTCGAGGAACCCAACGGCTTGAGAGAACTGAGACAATATTACTAGACCCCTCGAGAAACTACATATGTGGCTGTCTAGTACATGACAAACCCACCGAATGGGTTGTGCACAGTGAGGATATTTTTGGCATGCATTTGGGGAGTCGTGCCGTACCTGTGCCGAAGCTAGCGGCACTCCCCGTTCCTGCAGGTAGGTGTAGATTCGCTCGAGTTGCTGTGGGCCATAGTTGCTCACCCCCACACACTCCACCAGGCCCTGGTGGTGGGGAAAGATGCAATGGAAATACGCAACTTAAAAACAGTTGACGGTTAATTAATGCTATTGCTCACCCCCACACACTCCACCAGGCCCTGGTGGTGGGGGGGTAATGTAGAGGTGGAGTGGTGTGGGGGGGGAGGACACGAGTTAATAACTGCAGTTTTTCAATGCCATATTTTTGCAGGTAGATGTTATTTTGCATGGCAAGGGTAAAATAACACTCCCTCAATAGCACCAGTTTCATCTCATATGCTCTTGCGTATCTTTACAAATACCTCTTTGTATGGTATCATCTCACCTCCTCATACTGTTTCATCTCGATCTCACCTCCTCGTACATGGCGACGAGCCCATCCCACAGCACCCTCTCCTGCAACGGAGCATAGTTGGCAGCAGACCAGTGCAGCTGCCCTATCGCCAGCTTCTCCAAGCCCAGGCGATCCAGTGATGCCCTGATGGGGTAAAAGGCGAAGAATTGAGGAAAGAAGGGGGCACAAAAAAGAGGGGAATATTTTATAGAGGAACATAGTTGGCTGCGGACCAGTGCAGCTGGCCTATCGCCAGCTTCTCCAAGCGCAGGCGATGCAATCCAGTGAGGCTCTGATAGAGGGAGAGGGAAAGAAGTGGTGAATACAGAAGGGACGTTGCCTGCACCTGCAGATCAATGCAGCTGGCCTACTGCCAGCCTCCCCAAGCCCAGACGATCCAGTGGAGAGGAGGGAAACATATGGAGGATATGAGAGGACAGGAGCGAGGAGGAGAGCCGTGAATACTGCAGGAGGTCTAGCTGTGGACCAATGAACTGGCCTATCGCCTGTGTCTCCATGCTTACCATCTGTGGGTGGGAGAGCGGATGAGGCGCCAGGGAGGCGCGGCCAGCTTGGTGGCAATGCGGATGATGTGAGGCCGCTCACACTCACTCTAACCGCCCTTGTCTTCCCCCATCTCCCCATCTCCCCATCTCCCGCGAGTCCCCCCTCACCTGCAGGCGCCCACCATCTGTGCAGACGTGAGGCGCCAGGGAGGCGCGGCCAGCTTGGTGGCAATGCGGATGATGTGAGACCCAAGCTGGTCGCATTGCCAATGGTGGCATGCTCACACTCACTCCCATCTCCCTTGTCTTCCCCCATCTCCCCGTCTCCCTTGTCTTCCCCCATCTCCCCGTCTCCCTTGTCTTCCCCCATCTCCCCGTCTCCCTTGTCTTCCCCCATCTCCCCGTCTCCCTTGTCTTCCCCCATCTCCCCGTCTCCCTTGTCTTCCCCCATCTCCCCGTCTCCCTTGTCTTCCCCCATCTCCCCGTCTCCCTTGTCTTCCCCCATCTCCCCGTCTCCCTTGTCTTCCCCCATCTCCCCGTCTCCCTTGTCTTCCCCCATCTCCCCGTCTCCCTTGTCTTCCCCCATCTCCCCGTCTCCCTGGTCTTCCCCCATCTCCCCGTCTCCCTTGTCTTCCCCCATCTCCCCGTCTCCCTTGTCTTCCCCCATCTCCCCGACTCCCTTGTCTTCCCCCATCTCCCCGACTCCCTTGTCTTCCCCCATCTCCCGCGAGTCCCAGCCCTCACCTGCAGGCGCCCACCATCTGTGCGGGGGTGAGGCGCCAGGGATACGCGGCGAGCTTGGTGGCAATGCGGATGTCACTACGGTACTTGTCACTGCCTGGCGTGGGGTGGGGTGGGGTGGGGTGGGGTGGGGTGGGGTGGGGTAATGGGAAAGATGCAAATGTTGCATGATGATGGCGGTAGGAGACACCAGAACTGAGTCCGGAATTCTTAAACAAGATTGCAACAGGTTATAGATTATGAGGAGACACGAGCGACGCTGTGGGAGAGAGAACGAGAGCGGACTAATTTGGACGAAGAGTGAGAGTTAGAAACCACTGTACCAGGTAGGGCTCCTCCTTACCAGGGTACTCTTTAATGAATTGGCCCAGTAGCTGCTCGCTGCGGCCGCTAAGCGCTCCAGTTCCGTAGGAGTCAGCCGTGTCGAAGATATTAATCCCGCGCGACACGACCAGGTCAAATACCTCCTTAAGCTCCTCGTCCATCGCCTTGTCGTACCCCCACAGGAACTTATTTCCCCACGCCCAGGTCCCGAGACCCATGGGGGAAACTGAGAACGGACCGAGCCGCACCTAATAAAGGGCGTATTTACACAATGCGTCATGTTCGGTAATACGGGAACGAAGGAGTTATTTTGTAAACCAGACGGTTGTTTGTACAACAATAAATAGGTTCGCAGCGTGCTAGTCCAGTTGCACGATTCAAACACTTTGCAAGAAAAAATAAGCCACCGAATGTATCCTACCACTAGAAACTGGTGCTCCTTTCCTTCAAGGTGAACTGCACAGTTGTAGCAACGGCTACGGCTACGGCTACGGCTACGGCTACTGCTTACCCTGTGAAGGATAGCAACGGCTTACCCTTTCCCACGGAGCATACGCCCATCCTTCTCGGAACTCTCCCGAGTCGCTTTCCGGGGCGCCTCGCTTGGTGAAGAAGTCTAGAATGGCTCGCGCTTCCACTTGAAGTACGGACCTCCTCGCGGCATTTCGGGATTGAACCGGTACCACGCGACTCGATGCTGTGCTCTTGCTTGGGAACTTGTGAGAAGCAAGCGACACTGCGTCTCGCGAAGCGGGGCCTGAGAGCACGCGATTCGACCAGCTGAGCGACGTGGCAGCCATGGCTAAATTTGTGACTAGGAGCTGGACGCTCGACGGATTAGAAGAATCAAATAGATATGTCAGGTTTCGGCTAGGTTCAATTGGTTTCCAGTCGGTGATTCGGGGTTGTATAGAGCTTTGGATGTGCTGACTGTTGCGAATTTAGATGATGCGCTTGATTGGACAAACAAGATTCGTGAGCTGTGCGAACCGTCGATTGCACTAAAAACATAGCTTATCTACGAACACGGTTTGCCCGCAAGCCATCGTGATCCCACTTGGATTTGACACCCGAAGCAGCAGAGATGAGCATCGTTACAGCTCGCGAAATCGCCATCGAAAAGTATTACCCGTTTGCAAGCTCGCAACACATTTTCCCCAACCATTTGAAGATATAAATTTACCGAGGGGCAAAAAAAGTGGCCATCAGTAGCCTGAGGACGCGGTGAAAGTGCAATTATCGCGGGATCGTCTGCAAATACCGAGCCTCACAATCGAGTGTACTGGTCGTTTGGCGAAACATATCGATCGCTCTGTTGTAACGATCGCACCTGAGATTGGTGTTCTATGTTCCACATGCGAGAACACTGCCGTGCCTGCGACACGGGGCCAAAATTATAAGTGTCGTCCAAGCCCACCTTCGACAGTCGCAGCCCACAAGGCAACCACCCTTGGCGGTTGGAATGCTGCGAAATGTCGACAACCCTGGCGACTCCCTTTTCTGGCCCTGCGATAACTTCGGCGACTGCACGCTTCCGACTCAATCGCGCCTGGTAGGCTCGGTTCACTTGATTGATGCCTATTACTGCCCGCGATCAACGATCAGTCTCATTCACACACAGAACCCAAATTTTGGCCAGAACATATACTGTAGAATGGTTACATAAGGGTAAATAGGGTAACTGAGCCGCACACCGATCGCCGCTGAGAATCGCTCGTCTACTTTCACCGCGTCCTGATCAGCAGGATGTGCGCGACCTTACTAGTTATTTTCTGAGCTCAGTACTTCGTGGTTCAGGCATAACTGAGGCGACCGCGCAGTTAGGCTCGGGTCGAGTTGTACGCTGACGCATATAGTACTGCATGGGCTAGACGAGGTGGTTGTGACCGACGAGGTCAGGGGAAGAATCATGGCGTTTATAAGCAGGCGCTTCTTATGCGCATCGAAGCTGCGTAAATCGCTCAGATGCTACGTTCCACGCGAACTTACTTTTGTATCCGGAACCACCCATCCCAACTCGAAGGTCGCCATCCCTCCCGTGCTTTCAGCAGCTACAACCGCTCCACAAGGACCCTTTGCCTCAGATTTCACTTTGTCAGAGACATCAGCAGCTGGAGCTCTCAGGGATGAGAAGGGACCCGAAAACCGTTGCGGAAGTGGAGCAGCGTCGCGAGATTTTGAGGCGCCTCAACGATCAGTGTCGCCAGCTGCTCCAAGGAGCCTCATGAGCACTGATTCGGCGAGGTCGGGGAATTCGGCCAGTTTCTCTAATTTGGCGAAATCTGGAAGATTAGCTCTTTCGTTGAGAGTCACAGTAGAAAATACGGAGGCTCCAGCTGCTCGAGCAGCACTCGCTTATGGTACCTCCTGTTTAAGTCACGCCACAGCGTCTATCCATCTTTTCAAGAGAATCAGCGCCAGGAATACCATTGGACACGTCAATCCCTTGTCTGTCCTGGGTTTTGCCACCTCAGCCAGATATTCCACCACGTCATTTCAAAATTCCACGTCCGAGAAGGGTGCCACGTCATTGCACCCCACCAACCAACCCAGCCAAAGACCCCGTCAAGCCAGCTGCACGGCGTCCCTTAGCACCCAACGAGGCGCTGCGAGTGTTTGTAGTTGATGGCGAGCCTTCAGGGGACGCGCTAGGATGCAGATTAATGGCGGCTTTAAGAGACGAGGTTGACAGGAGGAAAGGGGAGATCTGGGAGCAGGTGGAGGAAGGAAGCGTCCAAGAAGGGCGTTCAGGGACTGTTGAGTTTCAAGGTGTGGGAGGGTGAGTGTGGGATGCATCTAGTGAGCTGAGCGGTGAGTGAGTGAGTGATTAAGTGAGTAAGTGAGTGAGTAAACATATGAGTGCCTGTGTGAGTGGGTGAATGAGCCAGCACGTGAGGGTCAGAGGGAGCGATTGACACACCTTACTGAACATTACTACCGTTAACCCCCCCCCCCCCTTTCTTCCACCCCCCCCCCCTGCTTCTGTGACCTTCCACCCACCTTTTGTAATTCCCGGTTCAGGAATTCCTGAGTTCCTGAATTCATGAGTGCATGTGCGATCTTTCACCCTCCCTTTGTAGTAATATCTATTTGGGTTCCATCACCCACAATCCAATTTCTGCATTTCCCTCTTCCCAGCACCCGATGCAGCTTCTTTGTTCCCAATGCTGATGCAGGAACTCTTTTTGCTCAAGTCCTCTTTCCGTTAATTAGGCAATTTTTATGTGCCTTTGAACCCGTTGGTACTTGCACTCGCACAGTCACTCAGCATACCTATTTCCGTCCATCCTTTCTCCACACCCAATCCCATTTCCTCCACATGGAATACCTTTCCTTCCACACAGACCCCCCCCACCCAAACCCACCCCGACCACCACAGCCCCTGGTGGAATCACAGGGCTTCAGTTCTCTCTCTCTTCCCAATGACAGACCTTTCAATCATGGGCTTCATGACAGCCAACCCACATATCCTCCCTCCACACACATTCATGACAGCCAACCCACATATCCTCCCTCCACACACATTCATGACAGCCAACCCACATATCCTCCCTCCACACACATTCATGACAGCCAACCCACATATCCTCCCTCCACACACATTCATGACAGCCAACCCACATATCCTCCCTCCACACACATTCATGACAGCCAACCCACATATCCTCCCTCCACACACATTCATGACAGCCAACCCACATATCCTCCCTCCACACACATTCATGACAGCCAACCCACATATCCTCCCTCCACACACATTCATGACAGCCAAACCACACATCCTCCTTCCACACACATCCCCCACCCCACCCCACCAATCCCACAGCCCCTGGATGGCTTCACAAGGCCTCAGCTCTCTCCTCCCAATGACAAACTTTTCAATGGGGCTTCATGACAGCCAACCCACATATCCTCCCTCCACACACATTCATGACAGCCAAACCACACATCCTCCTTCCACACACATCCCCCACCCCACCAATCCCACAGCCCCTGGATGGCATCGCAGGGCCTCAGCTCTCTTTTCCCAATGACAGACCTTTCAATCATGGGCTTTGTCGAACTCATTCCTCGCATCCCACTCCTATGGGTACACTCCTCTCTCTCTCACCGTGTAATTATGTGTAATAGCAATGTGTGCTCCTATGCGTTGAACACGTTTTTTTGTTTACATCAAATGTCATTGAATATGGCGTTTCACACTTGCATTACCTGTTTTGGGGAGTATACGGCCACAGTCATGACTTTTGAGGCGCCTCAGAAGTTGTTTTGGGGAGTAGACGGCCACAGTCATGGTGATGCCATGATACCCCTCCCCCTCTCCCTCCCCTCTCTCCCCCCCCCCCCCCCCTCTCCTCCTCCTCCCCCTCCTCTCGCTCCCTTCCCAGTATCGCCTGCGCCAGGCTGTCCGGCACGTGGAGCAATTTCAGCCACACATTGTCATCACCATCGACTCCAAAGGCTTCAATTTTCGCCTGCTAAAGGCTATACGAGGTCGGATCTTGCACTGAGTTGACATCTGCTGAGTATTAAGTTGACTGAAAACTGGATAAACCTTTTATGACTTTTGAGCCGAGTGGGAGATCGGACAAATTCCTGTGGACTTTGAGTCGACTGATAGAACATTGTCATCACCATCAACTCTCCGGATTCCTTCATCTCACCTGTTAAAGCCCACAGAAGGTCAAAATTTGCGCTCCAATGACTCCTGTTAAAACCATCGTCACGATGAAGTGTGTGGTTACTTTGTGCTTTTACGTGCATCTCCAGGTAAAGACAAGCTGTGTAGGCAAGGCGAGGAGGCTCCACTCTGTGTGCATTATGTGGCGCCGTCGTTTTGGGCAGTCAAGGGAGGCGAGCGCAGACTGCGAGTATGTTTGAGTGTGATTATGTTGAGGTGAATGTCTGTTCAAGTATGTGCATGTAAATTGTGAATCCACCGTTTCCACCACAGCATATTTCCCATTGTTGTATATGTCAGCTCCATGGCTGTCTTGTTTTAGATTTCTGCTTTCTCCCACAAACCTCCTGCCCTCCCCCAAGCAGAATCTCTCACCGTTGATGGACCATCTTCTATGCATCCTGCCTCATGAGCCTGCCACGTGCCAGCAGCATGGCATCCCAGCAACGTATGTGGGGCATCCCGTTCTTGAGACCATAGCCGAGGATCGGAGTACCAGGCAGAGTGGGGAAGCAGGGAGAAAAGATGTTGGGGAGTGGAGAGGGGAAGGTGGGAGTGGAGAAACTAAAGAAGCAGGAGAGCCAGGAGAGGAAGGATTGCGAGGAGATTGGGGTTATAATGTGGTGAATGGACCATGGTGGAGGGCGAGTGGGGATGGAAGAGCTTTCCGGCAGCAACACGGCATTCCAGGTAAGGTTTTGTGCAATGGGCATGTGAACTTGCAATGTTCTAGAGGCTGATTGCTTGCCATCTGAATCTGATTTGGAGGTTGACCAAGTATGCACTCAACTGAAGTTGCTTCTTTATGTTTTGCCCTTTCTCAGTCGGGCCCCAACACATAACCATCTGCCTGCTTCCAGGAAGCCGCCTGCAAGAAGTATCCAGGATGCTGCCTATATTCCTTCAAAGTGTTAAGATTCTGACTGCATCAGAGTGGCTCAGGGATTATTTGGATTCCCAGGGTCCAGGTGGCAAACTGTCACTGGTTATTCCAACCCTTCCACGCTCTTCAGAAGTGACTGTCCTTGTCCAAAACATTCTTCATTCATGGCTTGAGTCTTTAAAATATAAGAACTCCAGCTGGAGGTTTCCATTCTGTTTATCTCAATCTATGGAGACTGATTTAGTGGTTGATGTTGCAGCTGCAGTAGTGGTTCCTGCACCGGAGGGCAACACTTGTGCAAACAGAACAAGCAAAAGCAAAACGATCAAGATTGGTCCACATACGGACGCACTTGCTGTGAGATTCTGAGATTGCATTCCCCATCCAGTTCCATTCCTATTTCATGTTGTCGTGCTTTGAATTCACTGATAGTGGTGGTCTCCTGTGCCTTAATCCTGTCATAACCGTGTTTTTGCATGCAGGCATGTGATCTTGCTCTCTGTGTTTCTGGTTCAGTGGTGCTTGAGGTGCTTCGCTCGCAATTACCCCTGGTTGTGACGTATAAGGCCCACTGGATTACTCAATTCATTGTCAAGAGATGGTATGTAATGTCATTCTTGATATGTTTTGGCTGCACAAAACTTGGTAAGGGGCTAGGTCCATAGATTTTGATGTGATGTGACCGGTATTTTCCATCCACTCCATCAGTTTGGACTGCTTTTGTCTGCATTTCAGGGCTTCTATTCAGTTTGCATCACTGCCGAATATTCTCCTTAACAAGCCTTCACTTCCTGAGGTCCTTTTTTCTGAGTGTACCTCACACAGGCTGTCATCTGTTATCAGGTATGTGTGCATCATTGTGCCTATCTTTACCCATCTTGCAAAATGGGACCACAGCCGTTCTAAGCATGTTATGGCACCTTATATGACAAGCTTGTGTTTTGTTATTGTGTTGATGAAAGTACATCACTGAGGATGCCTTTTTTATTCGCCCAGGAATTTGATGGAAAACTTTGACAGCTGCAAGGCTGACCAGTGCGCCACTGCTCATCTGCTCTTCAATGCTTTGCAAGAGCCCCTGAACAGAACTGAGGCACATGCTCCTGACTTCAGGGAAGCACTCACTCCCAGCAAAATTGCAGCAGAAGTAGTTATTGATCGGTTCCAATAAGTAAATTGATGACCATTTGCATGTTCAATGCTGCAGTTGGGTAGTGTAGATTTATCTGATTGACCCTCTTGTCCAGGCCGGTTTTGGCACCTTCAGCCTCTGGAATTACCGAAGACTCATCTTTATCTGTCTGGCCTGGTTGCCGCATGTTACAATAATTGTTGCGAAACTCTTATTCCAGATATTCGCCCTCCAGTTCCTTTGAGAACTTCGCATCTCACTTTCAGTCCTGTAAATGAACCTCATGAGACTTAAGAAGCAGGAGCTCTAGGAGAATAATGAGACTTTTTAACATACCTTCATTAGGCTGCAAGTTCGTGCTGGCAGCAACTGCATGGGACCGTGCTATACTCCTGAAAGGGAAGAAGAGTTCAGACCATTTCACCCCCCCAACAACAAACCAGACAGTCAGTGGCATCAGTACCTTGGTTGCCAATCTCCATTTGGGGCGACCCATTTGCTTGTGTTCAGAATATCTATCCAGGATACAGTCAGCAATTACAGCACAATCCAACATCCGGCCAGTAATGGAGTTGCGCTTACCTTTTAGCTCTTGACGGCCAATGGTTCCTGCATCAAAAAGTCCACCAGCAGCTTGGGGACAGTGAAACGGCGCTTCGTGTGAGGCTAGCTGCTCGTATTTCCACTCCCCACATTTCCACTCATCATGTAGAAACAGCTCATAATGCCTTGCGTCAAGTGTTTGCATGGTGCCTGTGCAGGGAAAAGCGTTGCTGTATAGGTTCGTGTTCAACGAAGCGGAAGTTGAAGCCGAATCGTCTTACCTTCACACGTTTTGAGGCTGCAAACAGGACAGCGGACAAGGTGGAGATCTGTACGACGCAACAGTGTTGTATTAGGAATGTGTCAGCATATAGATTTAGCCAAAAAACATCAGCAATCTACCTGCAATCCATATTCCGTTCTGGACGCCGTCAATTGTCCAGGAAGCCATCAAGCCGCAGTCTTCATTGCACTGAAACCACGCCTGGCGTAAGTTTCAACAACACGAACCGCTAAACTACCTAGTGATGCGAGTCTGACCTCTGAGTCTCCCTCCCGCTGGAATCCAGCTGCCTTTTGAAGTGTGTCGGTCGCTACGACTTTGCCGCTGGTGACCGAAAATGCTCCAATTCTCATCCAATCTGGAAGACGAAGTAAATACGGTTGTCGCGAAAATCAAGCAGGAGATCCTTGTGTCGTCACTTACCAATGTGTTTGTCGGATTGCCTTGAGCTGTAAGTGTGACTGCCGTCTGTAAACCAGATGATAGGGGTCAGACATTGCACGCCTGATATCCAGAGTAAACAAAAAATGTAGTACCTATAATGCTTTTGTAGATGTCCAGCCAACCAAATTGGGGCTTATTAGAGGGTGCATTGCAGCCCAGCTCCTGTAGACAGCGAGTCTTCCATGTGTATTCTTCCATGGCAATAGATAGAAAGGACTTATTGCATAATGCTAGGGACATAATATCTCGACCGTCGAGCTTTTCCATAATTTTGCCCCATGGAATCGACGATTCCATTGCAGAGCAAGGATGATGTCTCTGCAACTTGAAAACAGATTCCATTCAGACCAGCATACCTAACCTTGTGAGGAAACATGCCTTTGTAGTGCATCGCTCATCAACAAAGCATGTGAGATCGGTGATGTCTTTTGGCGGGAACTGAAATTCGGGAAAGTAGCCGTTGTGCCTTGGTGTGGGTGGGATCCCCAAGGATGAAAATTCGTTGGAGGCGCTTCCCCGTTAGTAATTCAGATGGTTACGCCACCGCAACACTGAATTGAAACAAGTTATGCCAATCATGCTAACAGCCTACCCACCCATACCACCTAAGAAAAATGCATTATTATATCACTTTCAAGGACTATAAAATGGAATCATCCTATGGTTCTCATGTACTTGGGCTCAATTATGTATATTAGAAAATCACATGCTATTGAAATCTGTTTATTTTGACTGATGATGCATTTCACAGTTCGTTGAAAAGGCATACTTTATAAGTAATTAATACCAATTCTAAAAAAATCCCAGCTATTGTGTGTGTCTACGTATCTAGTTAAGAACTTCATTGTAGAGCATCAAAGTAGATATTGTGAATCGTGATACACCTTTTTGTAGTTGTCTCGATATAGGGCCTTCATAATCCAACCCCGATCACAGCGAAGCTGTTCATCGTGATTGCCGTTTTGCGAACTGTGAGCAAACAGGAAATGACCTTTCAAGTTTGAGATGAACCATAGCGGTCTCCATTGTGGGTGTCTTCTATTTGTCTTTCCACTGACGCAGCTATGGGCAATACACAAGGGCACGCAGGGGCGGATTCAACTGCCGAGACTTACTCTCGCGTCGTTTTTACTGGTCTCGATGCACACAATGACGGAAGTGGGGGGCGCGTTTTATTCATCGCAGAAGACAAAGATAGCATAGAAGATCCTCCGTATGCGAGCTCCGAGTCAAGCTTACGCTTGTCTGGAAGTCTCTGTCAATCGAATCTCGACGCCTTACTTTGTGGCCCTCAACCCGTAGACCTTACCAAACACCAAGATACACAGGACACTCATCTGTCTAAGATTCCTTCTAAGCTCATCTTTTCCGTGACAACCGATGATACACAGGTGACACATAAAGCGTTGGAGATTCAAGTGGATATGCGCACACCTTGGCGGCAATGGGATTTTCAACACCAGAATTACGCCATTATTACGTCACGGGAAACGCCATTCGGCTTCACTGTTGCACCTGCGGAGACGTCACCTAATGTACAACTCAGCAAGAAACAATTTCTGTTTCTTGGTTTGCAATTCTTGAAGGCCTTACAAAAAGAAGCAAGGTCCAGTAAGTAATTTCGAGGTACTAACTTTCTTCTGTTTACTTTTCGTGCCGCTCATACTCCTGATTTGCCTGCGTAGAGAAATACTGGAGAGGTACCGCCGAAAAACTCAGACATGAAATACACGAGGAAAGGAGGCGGCGAGACATTGTAACAGAAGATCTCTTAAAGGAAAAGAACAAGCTAATCGACGAGCTTGCTCATTCGACATTACATACTCGATCGCTCATTAAGGCAAAGAGCGACCTTAATGGTTGTATTGAAGAATGTAGGGCTGTAAATGTCATTCTGGACTTACTCAACACTGGCAGTATTTTCATGAGTTAATGTTTTTCAGGGAGACGCAAAGTGCAGGAGCTGGAGGAATCGTTGGCGACATCCAGGAAAGATAAAGATGAGCAACGTGCCTCTTACATGTCTAAGGCAACCGCTGAAAAAGGTACGAACCTTTTTTTACCACGTATTGAAATCCGTGCCAGACAAGCTAACAGTTATCCGTTCTTCCATGCAGCACAACTGGTTAAGCGACTTCAAGATCTTTCCAGATCCGCTCACCACCAGGCTAGTTACTTACTCACCCTGCAAGCCAACCGTTTGTCATTCCCTTCCATGGGCCACAACTAACCCCGTCGCTTTTTCAGAAAATGGAGCTTTCTTCTCTAAGGAATCAAAACCAGGAGCTAAAGAAGTCACTTAACATCTGCCAACAGCAAATTATGCTCCTCGAATCAACCCTTTCTTCACGAGAATCTGAGGTCGAGAGGCTTAATGCTGAACATACATCGCTGGCCTCATCCATGAGTCAATGCCTGAAGCAACACGAAGAAGCAGTACAAGACTTTCAGCAGAAAGCAGCATCGATGCAGATAAGTTTTTCTGAGATGGAGCTTTGTAACGTGAGGCTCAAGCACAACCTCTCATCGCAGGAGGCCGAACTTGAGAGGCTTAAGGCTGAGCATGAAATTCTGGTCTCATCAATGATGCAAGACCTTAAATGCCATGAAGAGGCGAAGCTCGGAGCAGAAAAGGAGTTGGCGGACTTGCAGACGAGGTTTTCTGAGTTGGAGCTCTCGAATGCCGTGCTGGAACAGACACTTTCGTTGAAGGACACAGAGCTTGAAACGGCCAAGGCTGACCACAAAATTGCATGCACATCTATCCTTCAAGACCTCAAATTCCATCAAGACACCAAGCTTGAGATGGATGAGAAAGCAGCGTCAATGAAGAGGAAGATTTCTGAGCTGGAGTTGCAGATTTCGACATTGAAAAAAGAAGCAGGTACGTTAAGCAAGGAGACTGCAGCGTTAGGCTAAATTTGCCCTCACTTATAATGTTGTTACAGAGCAACTCAAGTGCGAACTGGATGAGTGTCGCGTTTATCAAAACGAAATGGAGTTGCAGACCTCGACATTGAAAAAAGAAGCAGGTACGTTAAGCAAGCAGGTAGCAGCGTTAAGCTAAATCTGCCCTCACGTTCAATGTGGTGTTACAGGTCAACTAAAGTCTGCACTGGATGAGTGTCACGCTCACCAAAAAGAGATGGAGCTGGTGAATAAAAGGTTGTTACACCATGAGAACACTCTCATACAAATGCGCAGTCTTGCCAAAAGACTACGCAATGAGAAGGTACTGGTACAACCACCATCTGTGGCCCCCCTTTTCCTTATCTCTTCTCAAAGCCATTCTATTTTGGCAGAATGAGTTGCTTGAAAAGGTTGAACTGCTGAAATCAGCCAACGAAGAGCAAGAAGACTCTAACAGTTCACAAGTACAGGCACTTGCTCAGAAGCTGAGAATGGTAAGACTAGCTGCCAGTAGCTTGTGTTGTTCATTGGGGTGGGGCTGACAAGGTCACTCCATTATGTCAGGCAAAGAGTGAGCTGGCAGTCTGGAAGGAGCGGTGCTTGAATCACAGTCTGAAATACACATCCACTGAAGACATAGAATGTTCTGCCTCAGCTGTAACTGGACGGCTCAAGAAGGTACAATAAAGCCATTTTTTATAGACATTTGAGGGTGGCACAGGCTAACAGGCTGTTGTGTTTGTGAACAGCACCGGTCCTTTTCAAAGCCTGCCAGCCCTTCATTGTCATACTCTGCTGCATCAGTAAGTGCTATGGGCAGTCAGGCTGCCAATAATGCAGTGGGGTGGTATTATCAGGGATGAGAGAATGCGTGTTAATGGTAATTGCGCTGCATTCTGAAAGCTGTTTTGTGATTCCAGATCCCATCACATCCCCGTTGTGAGCAATCTGAAGGCACAGCTGCAACATTTTCCACGGCAAATTATTCTCAATCCCAGGTAAGGTACATGTGTCTCGCCATTTTTTTCCTTCTACACAATGTCTAACCTGCATCTTTGCAGGGAGCGTCTCGTTTGTCAAAGCGCTCAAGAAAGGATCCACCATAATGAGCTGGTTCATTTTCACTCAATTCTGACCGAATTGCCAGCGAATCTTCAGAAGGCCATGCTCTCGTTCCGAGGAGCCCAGCAGCACGTCCCATGTTGGCACCACAAAAATCATGGAATAAGTGTTATTTTTCCAATGTGAACACTTGACTCCATCAGTGCGTGTGCAACTTGCACATCTGCCATGGAGAGTTCCTGAAATATTACGGGCTTCAATTGTCCAGAGGAGATGAGTGGCCAAACGTTGGCCTCCACTTCCCTCACAATCTCTGCCTTCTGACCCAGTGGTCTGGACCTTAAGCCTGCAGCTGCGAAGACAAGGAAGAAGTTACAGTTATTACTATCGCGAATGAAAACAGATAACACACAACAACCATATGCAGATCCTTACAATGCAGGGAAAGCCGCTTCATCAACATGCGTCCTAGATCCACACTGCCAATGCGACCACCCTGAAGGCCTATCACAACCATTCGGCCATCCTCCACCAGGCAGGAAAGGTTCTTCTCCAAGTAGGAAGCACCCATGTTGTCAAGTATCACATTTACACCTGGCGACAGTCACAAAGTAACAATCCAATGCAGAAGAGGCAAAAGGTTGTCATATCTGAAGCAGCCAAAAGCTGACCAGCTGATCAGACTTCAATATAAAATTGCTACACCATAATCCCAGAACTATATGGAAGGTAGCTAACATTACCTTTCCCACCAGTCTCCTCCTTGACACGTGTCAGAAAATCCTCCTTGCGATAGTTGATTGTTACATCCGCACCTAGTTGACGGCACCGATTAAGCTTCTCTGTTGAGCCTGGCGAAGGAAGAGGAAACAGAATTAGTCCGCTCTGCCTTCCAGACATGGCCACCCCCCACTCATGCTAGAACTTGCACTTCCACCCCCAAGGGTCATAGACAACAAGGAACATGGTACAGGTGAACAGATGCACCACATCAGCTCAGGGATTTGCTACGACTTTTCTTGATTTCGTGTTGCTTACCAGCTGTACAGAAGACACGACTTCCGAGCAGCTTCACCAACTGAATAGCAAATGTACCAATACCACTGGATCCACCATGCACCAGAAACGACTCTCCAGGCTGCAGCTTCGCCATCATGAAGACAGTGGACCACACCGTGCATGCAGCCTCCGGCAGAGCTGCAGCGTCCACTAGTGGCACACCGACTGGCACTGGAAGAATCTGGGACTCAGGTACTGCTACATACTCAGCGTACCCACCCCCAGCCAGCAATGCACAGACCTAAGCAAGGGTAAAGTGGAGACAATAAAGTATCACAAGAAAGGAGAGCTTAAATCAGGCGTGTCGAGGGACAATACTGACAGTGATTTAGGAATTGGTATGTATTCACCTGATCGCCAACCTTCCAGCGTGTTACGTGAGAGCCAACCGACTCGACAGTGCCAGAACACTCTAGACCAAGAATGGGTGATGCACCTGAGAATAGAGAAATTAACAGGGGAAAAAAACAGCCCCATTTCAGAACACAAACAGCAAAAGAACATGTGCAAATGGGTTCGTGCCCACTCTGTGCACCCATGCGTGTGACCATATTTGAAAAGTGTGATGATGCAAGGAGAAATACTTATATACGCACTGACCTTTAGGTGGAGGATAGGATCCCAGACGCTGCATGATATCGGCTCTATTCAGAGCAGTAGCAGCGACACGAATGAGCACCTCCCCCTCCCGAACCTCGGGCATTGGAACCTCCCGAACCTGGAGGACCTCCGCACCTCCAGGCTCGTCAAAACCTACAGCCTTCATGTGGGTCTTAGATCGGATAGAGGAAGAATGGCGGTGGGATGAAACGGATAACGGAAACGATGGAGAGAGAAAGGGAGGCGAATGAGATGTTAACGCGTGGGATTCAACGGTGTGGCTAGGGGGTCTCCAGGAGGCAAGAAGCCGGAATTGTTTTACATACGTTGGAGGTGATTCGTGTTGAGAAAGACGAGGAAGAAAGGGAGATGGTGGGAAAGGATTGAGGTCGGTTCGAGGAGATAAGTCCGCCTTGAAGCTTGCAAGCAATGCTGCTGGTCTAGGCGCCGTTCTTGTTCGGCCCAACAGTCCGAGTCTCGGCAATGGTAGTAAGGCTGATGATTCGGATGGTATTGGGGAAGAGATTGATGGCAGCGATGCGCGGAGAAACCGGCGAGCAGCGGGAAGAAATCTGCTCAAGGAGATAAGGCGGGGAAGGGAAGCGGGGAGGGGATGGGGGGCCGCGAACAGTGTGGTGGTCAAGGGCGGAAGAGGGTCAGGGAGAGAGAGTGCAGAGGGGGAAAAGGGGGTGAAGTTGAGTGGAGGTATGTCGCGAAGTAAAGGACTTCCACGAAGAGTGAGACATCCTTGCTCAAAGTGTGGAAACTCTCGCGAGAAGAAGAACGAGAGAAGGGCATCACGGAATCCGACGACCCTCCAGCATTGCGAGCAAGAGTATATCAGGCCCGTCTGGGCTGCTGCAGCAAAGCTCCCAGTAATCAGTTAATGAATGCGTCCCGTTTAAAAAAACTATTCATAAGGCAATGGGGACTGAGTTCCATACCGCATAGCTCGCTGACTCATAACTTGCTGGCGGATCTCGTTGGAAGAAACGGAGGAAGAATCGACCAGATAGAAGCCGGCGAACAGCGGTTTGAGAGGAACCGCATAGACCGAACCCTGTCGCGCTCGATAAGCTTGTGGCTAGGATGAAGGCAGCCCGAAAACACGTGCTTTCGTGTTGCACTGAAAGCGGTGCTTCTTCCCTGGTCTCGACACATGCGCCCGGAAAATAGAGCGCTTTGACAAGATTTTCTTGATTGGAGAGTAGGGATGGGACTAGGGGCTGGAGAAGAACGACACGAATGTGCTCCTTCGCTGGTATGCTGTTGTTGCAATGGTCGCCATTTGGGTGTGAGCTTTCGCGAAGAGGCGAACGACCGGATTCGCGAATCAAGTACTCCGATAGAAGGTCAGTGTGGTTTACGTTTTTCAGGCACATGAATGAAAATTTGAAGATAAATATACACCAAATACACCAGACGTTCTATTCAATCATTGTGGCTCAAATCTGCTCTTTGCTAAGCTTAATCAGGAGCTCGCAAGTGCGCCGATTATGCCCAGTACTGCCACACTTTGAGCACCGGATAAGTCTGTGCAACACCTTCCCTGCTTTGACCTCCTCTGTAGCTCTCAGGGCAGGTGTAAGCTGTTGGCTTTTCGTTGAATCCTCAGGGAGGATCTTGCAGGATCGGCGATTATGTCCGAGTTCCCCACACTTCGTGCACTGCATAGGCCTCCTCAGACCTCTTTTTGTACGGTCTTGCTTCACATGCCCCAATGAGGGGCAAAAGTTTCTCCGATGACCAGCCTGGCCACAAGCTTTGCAATGAAACGCCACACCTAGCATAAAAGGGAAAGAAGGGGTGGAAGGGGTGGGAAGAAACATGTAAAGAAAAGGGGGGAAACGGGGGAGATTGAAACACGAATAAGATCTGGGAAAGAAAGAGATTGAAGACAAGAACAGGGGTGGTGTAACGTTTCATCACCTGTCTTTACTTGGCTGATAAGCTGCCTGAAGGTCAGCACAACGCTGCTTGGCCCGTGCCGATATCTTGGACGGGGCATTCTTCTCGTAGTACCCCTTCTGAAAATATGGAGGGTTGAAAAGGGGAAAGTGAAGGCGAAAAGACAAGGCAAGAATCTGCAGTCAATGGAAAGAAGGAACTACATTCATCTAGAATAGACTGTTTAAAGACAAACACTAGGACCAGAACTGTGCTCCTACACGTCTCATCAGACGTGAGCGTAAATGCACAGTGCAAAATTGATGTGAGTTGGTTGGTTGAGTGCAGTTCAGCAAAGTGACATGCGATGCTGACCGATAATAGGTATGATGGATTGTGATTAACAAACGCTTTAGGGAGAAAAGGCATACATTTCCTTAATAGATAATGCAAAGAAAGCATGTTTGAGCAGAAAAATCATAAACTGACACAGACAGACACCAAACTCACCATCATTGCTGCCCGCAACCTTTCCTTTCTCTCCGGGTCCTCAAATCTCTCTCTGGCAGTCCTTGACAGGCGCCCAGTTCTCCTCTCCACCGCTCTCAACCCCTCACTAATCCTCCGCCTCTCCTCCTCGGACCTCGGCCCATACACTCGCTTCATCTGTTTCCGCCTTCTCCTCCTCTCCAGCAACTCAGCCTCCACTGCAGCGTCTGCAGCCGCTTCTGCCTCCTCGTCCCCCTCTATAATCACCTGCCCTCCCGGCCATGGCAGATATAAGAACAGGCTTCTGCTGCTGGAATTAGCGCCACTGCTGCTGCTGATACTGCTGCTGGTGTTTGTGTTGGTGCTTGTACCTGAGGCAAAACTACTGCTATGAACAGCCCTGCTGCTGGGGGCGCTCTCATTAGCATTCCGTGTATTCATGCCACTACCACCCACGCCCCCAAACACTCCGTTTTCGATAAGAGGGCATCCCCTGTCGCCCCTGCTGTTGGGCAATGTGGCCTGCCATCGACCCAGCAGCTCGTGGCCTGCAGGGACAGGTGGCACGAGACGACTGGCTGCGCGCAACCGCCTCTGTCTCTGGAGAGCTCGTCTATCCGGTTCCTCCACCTGCTGAGTTGACGGTAAGCGGGAATCTTCGCTCGCGGTGCTTCCACTGCTGCCGCTACGGCTGCTTTTACTACTTCCGCTGTCGCTTCTCTGGGTGTTGCTGTTGCTGTTGTCTTTGCTGCTGCTGCTGCTGCTGCTGCTGCTGCCGCCTCCGCCGACACAATGCGCTTCAGGTTCTCCCGTGGCACCATCACGAATGCTGTTAACCACGCCACTGACGCGTCTGTCTGCTGATCCTCGTTCTCTCCTCCGTCTCGAATTGCCAGAAAACGATTCTTTGGTGCCCCGTGCCGACGCTTTGAGAGTCCTTCTGGCGGATATCAATCCAGCAGCATTAACGGCCGAAGTCTTCAAGTTCTCCGTCACCGTCACATGATAGCGTTCGTCGTTGAAAACTGCCCGTACACTACTACCGCTTCTCCTTGTCTTCCATCCCACTCCTATGTCTGAAAGATACGCGCCAAATCCTCCTCCACAAGAGCTTGTAATCGCGTCGCTGAAGCTGCTGATTGATCTCGAATTCCGGAGTCTGCCGCAGCTGGAGAGTACGTCCTTGAATCCATTGGTGCAACGCGACTGACGGTCACCGACGCAACAAAATCGGGTATGCGTTGAGGCGCTAAATCTTGGACTGTCGGATTCGGTGTCGTGACTGAGCCTCAAGCCGTGGGTTGCGAAAGATGCAGGTCGCGAGTTGAAGGGAGAATGACGACTGGTTTGTAAAATCGCGAGAGAGGAAGTACGAGCAGTGCAGAGCATGGCAGACCCACCACACAGCGAAGGCTGCTACGAGGCAGAGCCGCTACACGATAGTCAGGATATCGCAGACGAGTTTAGGAGGCTCAAGTTGAGACACGTAACTCGCAAACGGCCAAGTGACAAACTAGGAGCCGTGGGAAGCGCAGGATAGACATTTCTGCCTGGGAATGTGGGAAGATGAATGAACATACGTCGAATGCGAAGGAACACGCAGAAGGGAAGAGCTGCTTGGAACAAGAGGATACGCGTAGGACAGATTTCTCTGACGACGTGGAAGCAGGCGACCTGTTGGATTTGTTCAAGTATTCCTCCAAAAGCAGCATCGCTCATATTTATGAGCTGTCCACATGATTTTTTACAGAATTGCAGTTTTTGGGTTGCGTAGCAACCTTATACATTCGTTTTCACTTTTCGGTTGACTGATGTGAACAGTGATTTTCTTCTCAAAATAAAGAACAAATCACTGTTCACATAAGTTACCCGAAAAATGGAAACAAATGTGTCCAATCATTCCATTATCGTCGATAAGTACGGCGAATGGAACAATCGGACAATCTCTTGGCACAAATGACATAACGATAGGAAACTCACTCATAGGCAAACTTCTACCAGTGGAAAAAAAAACATGCAAAATTGTACGAGAAAATATACAAAAAAACAAACAAACAAATAAACAAACAATGTGAATATTTTGAAGTGAATACTATAATGCAATCATGTTGCAACATGGATTGATATGGTACGGAAGAGGCGAGTAAAGCTGCCCCATCGACGATCACAACCCACGTTGCATACACGAGGCACTTAGCACCACACCCCAAAGCAGTCACAAACGACAGTACACTAACTTGTACAAAAACGAGGGACAACAGTTGTGAATGCTTCGAAGCTAATGCTAAAATGCATCATTGATGCAACTGCGATTGATCTGGTATGGAAGAGGCAAGCAAAGCTGCCCCACCAACGATCACAACCCCAATTGCATACACGAGGCACTTAGCACTCACCCCGAAACAGACACAAACAACACTACATACATGTACGCACACACATACAAGCTCACACATACGCAGACAGAAGAAAAAAAACGCAGAAACATATAGCTAATACTACCGTAAGCATGCAAGCATAGCCAATGAAGTTCACCACAGCATAAACCGTCACTCACTTGTCCCCCATTCCCCTCCCTACCCCCCTCCCTGATCTCCCTTCCCCTCCTTCCCCACCCAACCCCCCCTTTGCTCTCCACAATAAACAATGATTGCAGCTCAAACTTCCTGCACAGGAAAGAAAAAAACAGCAAATGCATCTCTCACTCCCTGCACACAGTGACACACAAGCAAACAAGCACAGATACCATAATAAACACGCAACCATCCAGATGAAATTCAGAAGTGCATAAATCACCGCTAGCCTATTCCCCTTTACCCTCCCTACACCCCTCCGTCCCTCCTTCCCTCATCTCCCTCCCACTCCCTCCCTCATCTCCCTTCTCAGCTCACAAGCCCTGCACAAGCAAAAACAGGGAAGTTAACATCTTAGAAGCCGGCACCCTAAGCACTAGGGCAGAAAGCGACACGCGTTTGCATAAGTTGTTCGCATAAGCGACACACAGTAGTTCATGAGCACGTTGTAGCGTGCTCATGAAGCTCTCTCACGCACTCTCTCACGCACTTTCTCACGCGCTCTCTCACGGGCTCTTTCACGGGCTCTCACTAACTCTCTCACGCATTCTCTCACGCGCTCTCTCATGGGCTCTCTCACGCGCTCTCACTCGCTCTCTCACGCGCTCTCTCACGGGCTCTCTCACGCGCTCTCACTCCCTCTCTCACGCGCTCTCTCACGTGCTCTCTCACGCGCTCTCTATTGCGCCCTCTCATGCTCTCTCTCACTTGCCCCCTCGTGCGCTCTCTCTCACGCTCACTCACACGCTCTCTCACATACTCTCTCACGCGCACTCTCACGCGCTCTCGCACACGCACTCTCACGCGCTCTCTCATGCTCAATCTCACGCGCTACCTCACGTGCTCTTTCATGCGCTCACTCACGCGCTCTCTCGCGCGCACACTCACGCGCTCTCTTACATGCTCTCTCACGCGCTCTCTCGCGCGCTCTCTCATACGCTCTCTCACGCGCACTCTCATGCGCTCTCTCACACGCACTCTCACGCGCACTCTCATGCACTCTCCCATGTTGAAGGTGGTTAGCTAACCACTACCTAGAGCGACCTACATCAACCTAAGAAGGACCTACTGTGACGAGATGTGACTAAGGGAAAACGAGGACCTAAGAAGAAGAGGAGCTATCTATGTTGGGACGGTGGAAGGAGAAACACGGTAGCGGCGCGACCTGCAGTGGGAATCGAAGAGAAGAAGGGGAAGTGTGCAGATGTGGAGTAGAAAGCGGCTGAAATGTCGAGATTTCAAGCGACGTGAAGAGAAGTCACGCCGGGTCAAAGGCGCATCCAAGGAAGTCTGAAATTCGAACTCGAGGCGCGTTCGGTGCATGGTTGGATTTGGAAATTGAGCCGAGTACAAGTCAGCTCGAAATTAGGCGCGGCGCGAGGGCGAAATCAGAAATCCTTTTGCTTATAACTTGCTTTGTGTTTTCTGTTTTTGTATGCCTTCTTCAATGAAATTACTTGAACTTTCTACCTTGGCGTTTTTCAGCAAATTCTTTCACACAGTTGAGGCCAGAGCTTCATGTGCTTGTTACTAAGACTCTAAATAGTCTTCATAATCTAGACCAAAGTCTTCGCACGTACAAGATCCCACGCGCACTCTCATGCGCTCTCTCACGCGCTCTCTCACGCGCTCTCTCACACGCACTCTCACGCGCACTCTCACGCGCTATCTCACGCGCACCCTCACACGCACTCTCATGCGCTCTCACCCGCTCTCTCACGCGCTCTCGCACGCGCTCTCTCACGCGCACTCTCACCCGCTCTCTCACGCGCTCTCTCACGCGCTCTCTCACGCGCTCTCTCACGCGCTCTCTCACGTCCTCTCTCCCACGCTCTCCCTCACGCGCTCTCTCACGCGCACTCTCACGCGCTCTCTCACGCGCACTCTCACGCGCTCTCTCACACGCACGCGGACTCTCACGCGCTCTCTCACGCGCACTCGAACTCTCACGCGCTCTCTCACGCGCTCTCTCACGCGCTCTCTCACGCGCTCTCTCACGCGCACTCTCCGTTCGCTCCCGCGCACACGCTCTCCCTCGAGCTCCGTCTCTCCCTTTCTTAAAATGAAAGTGCAATGCAAGAGGAGACCAATCGACAGACAAAATGTACACATAGAGCAAAAAAAAGGGGGGGAGAAGGGGGGGAGGGTGGGGGAGGGGGGGGGCGGAAATTTCAGAGGGGGGAGAGAGGATGAAAGGACCGGGAACGCACCTGATAATCACGGTGCCTCAGAAAACAATCCGCGCTGGCGCACCAACCCGCGCTCGCGCACCGACTTGCGCTCGCGCACCAACTCGCGCTTGCGCTCGTGCACTTGTCGCTGGAGGCGACGGCGGGGAGGGAAGGAGAGGCTATGGCGGGGAGGGAAGCAGAGGCGACGGCGGGGAGGGAAGGAGAGGCGACGGCGGGGAGGGAAGGAGAGGCGACGGCGGGGAGGGAAGCAGAGGCGACGGCGGGGAGGGAAGCAGAGGAGACGGCGGGGAGGGAAGGAGAGGCGACGGCGGGGAGGGAAGGAGAGGCGACGGCGGGGAGGGAAGCAGAGGCGACGGCGGGGAGGGAAGCAGAGGCGACGGCGGGGGGGGAAGCAGAGGCGACGGCGGGGAGGGAAGCAGAGGCGACGGCGGGGAGGGAAGGAGAGGCGACGGCGGGGAGGGATGGAGAGGCGACGACGGGAAGGGAAGGAGAGGCGACGGCGGGGAGGGAAGGAGAGGCGACGGCGGGGAGGGAAGGAGAGGCGACGGCGGGGAGGGAAGGAGAGGCGACGGCGGGGAGGGAAGGAGAGGCGACGGCGGGGAGGGAAGGAGAGGCGACGGGGAGGTGGGAGTGAGAGGCGACGACGGGGTGTGAGGTGGCGGCGGGATGGGAGGGAATGGCGACGGCGGGGTAGGAGGGAGGTGCGACGGGATAAGAGGGAGAGGCGACGGCTGGGTGTTAGTTAAACGCGATAGCTGGATGATAGCTAGACAGCAGGATGAGCGATGGTGGGTTGGGAGAAAATGGCAGAGAGAGCAGGTAGAGGAGGAATTCGAGGAACCAAGAGTATGACAGAGTTCGAATTGACAGCTGGGAAGGGAAACGGAACAGATGCGCAGCGCATAGGAGAGAGCAGAGTAGAGCAGGTGCTCAAAATTCAAGAAAACAAGTCAGCGGAGAAATCGAGTTGACAGCGGAAGAAATGAAGAATGCGTAGCGCTGGCAAGAAAAATTTCTTCCAGAGCAAAACGAGGAAAGAAACGGTTTTTTAAATAAGCGTACAGTGTTACGTTGATGGGGCGAATTGCGAGCTGGTCGTGGGCGAATTGCAAGCTAAATTCGTAAGTGAAGAGGAGGGTAGGGGACGATGAGGCGAATTGCACTCTGAATTCGAGGGCGAATTTTAACAGAACCTGGGCACATGATAATCCAACAAAAAAACCCACACACTATATTTGGAACTACAGTAGTATCACGTGACAACACTCGCATAACCACTTCCATGACACATCAGAGTTGGCTGCAAATGAACAAACCCACTAAGGGTACTTCGATATTGCCATATCAGCTGTAGGTACTTCTATTATAATAAAATAACAAATAGAATGTCAGTCCCCATATCGTTCCCCGTAAAATAGCACTCAATCGCAAGAGAGAAGAATATTACTCGTAAAATTTTTATGAGGAACAAAGAAGCCCGCTATAAAAAGAAATATCATAGTTTATCGCTTCATATATAATATAGTGCATTTCCTGATTTATTTTGTTTCTATAATAATAACGCCTACGCAACCCTTCCGACGTTAACGTCGAGTCTTGTTATATCTTCTCGCATGTGGTTCCTCTGTCCCAATCCAAACGCCGCTGCAATTTCCCCTTCGATCAGCCTCAAAGCACCAGCCGTGGTTTTCTCAGGCTAGCACCACCTAGCCTTCTCGTAGGTCATCCCTTCGCATCGCTCGGAGTCTGACCTTCCGATCTCGTTAGCGCAGGTTTGCAGGTCGCATCTTTGTCACTTTTATCTCTTCCGGCTCGCGAATTGTCCGATTCCGGGCTATAACTTTGTTGTACCAATTTTCCAACCTTTCCCCGTACTTACCAATTGGCGAAGTCCTACGATCAGTCGTTCTCCGACAATGGATGAGAACCTTTACGACGAGTTCGGAAACTACATCGGACCGGAAATCGCGTCTGATGAGGAGGAAGAAGAGGAAGAGGAGGAGCAGGACCAGGAGCTAGCAGACGGCGAAGGAGGAGCAGGAGGTGAAATGATCGGGATGGAAGAAGACGAAGATGAGCCGGATAACGAGGGAGCGGTGATATTAGCCGAGGATAAAAAATACTACCCGACGGCGATCGAGGTGTACGGCGAGGACGTCGAAACCCTAGTCGAGGACGAAGACGCTCAGCCGTTAGAAGAGCCAATCGTCAAGCCGGTCCGGCAGTTCAAATTCGAGGTGGCATCGAAAGGCGTGCTCGCAACGTACGTGTCGACGGAGTTCATCGTCGGATTGATGAAAAATCCAACCCTGGTCCGAAACGTCGCTCTAGCTGGTCACCTTCACGCGGGAAAAACCCTCCTTATGGATATGCTCGTCGAAGCGACTCATCCTGACGTCGCCACGCTGAATCCGGAGAGCCAGCGGCACATGCGGTTTACGGATACGCGCGTGGACGAGCAGCAGCGGATGATTAGCATTAAGGCGGTTCCGATGTCGCTTGTGCTGGAGGATTCGACGGGGAAATCGTATCTGTGCAATGTGGTGGACACGCCCGGGCATGTGAACTTCTCGGATGAGATGACGGCGGGGATGCGCTTGGCGGATGGAGTGGTGCTGGTCGTTGACGCCGTGGAAGGGGTCATGGTGAGACGCTGGCTCGGGATTGGGGTTTCCAGGTTCAGGATTTTATGTCTGAGGTTCAGGATATGAAAAGTATAGGTTTGGCTTCGGTGTTTGGAATTGAAGGTTCGGGTTTGTGGGAATAGAGTACCGGTTGGGGAATTCGCCTGGCGGACGGCGTGGTGCTGGTCGTTGACGCCGTGGAAGGGGTCATGGTGAGACCTTGACTGGGGATTGGGTTGTGAGGTTGAAAGTCATGGTTCAGTATTTGGGTGAAGAGGGAAGCTAGTTGCACGTTGTGACTGGCGGATGGGGTGGTGTTGGCCGTTGATGCCGTGGCGTGGAAGGGGCCCTGGTGAGACGTGGACAATGGAAGGGTTAGGGTTGCTGACGGGTAGATGGCTTATGGTAAGATTCATGGAAGGTGTCCATGAGAGTTCAGGTTCGTTATTGGGGGTAAGGGGTAAGGTAATGGCAGTTGTAAGGTTGGCTTGTGGACGAGGTTGTGCTGGTCGTGGATGCTGCCGTGCCGGTTAGTGACTGCTTCGAGCTATGGTTCTGACTGTGGATGTTGAAATGCTCATGGTATGATTTGAGCCCCCTTTTTTGTCCACCTGGTGTAAGTTTCCTGATTTCAGATTGTGGATGCACAGTCATTACTTAGTCACAAATCTCTAGTCCCTGCAACCCAAAGTGTTGGTAGTGGTGCGTGCATGTCCTTGTCACACTCGCTTTCCTCCTCACTTTGTATTTTCCACCCCGTCTGCGTTGCTTTGTTGGTCAGGTGAACACGGAGCGAGCGCTGAAGCATGCGTTGCAGCAGGGCCTGGCCATCACTCTCTGCATCAACAAGGTGCGCCCTTTCGCCCTTTCCCTTTCTTGCCCCTCTCTCCGTATTTTAGTGTTTTTTCAGAACACTCAAAGGTGACTCCAATATAGCATGCGTTGCAGCGGGGTTTGGCCATCATTCTCTGCATAAACACCGTGCTCCCTTTTGCTCCCTTGTCCTCTTTCACCTTTTCATCGCCTGATTCCCCACTCGCTTCCCCTACCCTTCCCATCTGTCCTCGCCCGTATTTTTCTATGTCACTCTCTTTCCTTCTTATTCAAATCTTATTATCTTTGTTCGTCTGCCCCTCCGTTCCTCTCGCCCCTCCACTGCCCTGCTCTTATTGCTACCTTCACACACTTGGACCCTCTCCACCTCCCTTTATCACCCCCTCTTCCATTTCCTCCTCTCCATCCCCCCCCTCCTCTCTCTCTCTCCCCTTTCGGTGCCCCTCTCTCAGGTGGACCGTCTAATCACAGAGCTCAAGTTGCCTCCTCCAGACGCCTACCACAAGCTGCGCCACACTCTAGAGGAGGTCAACGCTCTCATCGCTTCCTATGCTCCCGCCGCCATGGCCGCCCGAACCTCCGGCTCAGGCTCGGCAATTGTCTCGGCAGCCATGCCTTCCGAAGCTCCCCAGCTGGACCCGGTCCTGGGGAACGTCTGCTTCGCCTCTGCCGCTGCTGGCTGGTCCTTCACCCTCCTTTCCTTTGCCAAGCTTTACACCCAAACGCACGGGGTAAATTTCGATCCTGAACAGCTTGCGAAGCGGCTCTGGGGTGACCTGTACTACCACCCTGACACCAGATCCTTCCGAAGGAAGCCGCCCGCGGGCGGCGGCGAGCGGACGTTTGTGACGTTTGTCCTGGAGCCGCTGTATAAGCTGTACTCTCAGGTGGTTGGGGAGCATAAGAAGAGCGTAGAGGCTACTCTAGGCGAGCTTGGGGTGTCTCTCCGTCCCTCTACTTACAAAATGAATGTGAAACCGCTGCTGAAGGCGGCTATTGGGGCGGTTTTAGGGGGTGGCGCAGGGGGTTTGGCTGATATGATCATCCGGCATTTGCCGTCCGCTAAGGCTGCTGCGCCGGTGAAGGTCCAGACGACGTACACCGGCCCGCTGGTGGGCAAACGGGCGGCTGCGATGCTGTCGTGCAGCGCGAAGCGACGAGGGCCGTTGATGGTGCATGTGACGAAGCTGTACCCAAAACCGGACTGCTCGGCGTTTGATGCACTGGGGAGAGTGATGTGTGGGACTCTTAGGACTGGGCAGACGGTTAGGGTTTTGGGAGAGGCTTATTCGCCTGATGATGAAGAGGATATGGCTGTGAAGGTGGTCACAAAGCTGTGGCTATACCAGGCTAGGTACAGGGTGCCGATTTCGTCTGCTCCGGCCGGCTCCTGGGTGCTTATAGAGGGAGTGGACGCGTCTATAACGAAGACAGCGACCCTCTGTGAGGAGTTTGGGCAGCAGGGGGGTTACGGAGGCGCGGAGGACGAGGAGGAGGAGGAAGCAGGAGGGAAGAAGGCCGGAGTGGGAGCAGGAGGCCGGTGGGGAGCAGGAGGAGGAAAGGAGGAAGAAGAAGAGGAGGACGACGAAGACGTGTTTATCATTGCGCCGCTGAAATTCAACACGGTGTCGGTTGTTAAGGTAGCCACAGAGCCGCTGAACCCCTCAGAGCTGCCCAAGATGGTGGAGGGGCTGAGGAAGATCAGCAAGAGCTACCCGCTGGCCGTGACGAGGGTGGAGGAGTCTGGGGAGCACACGGTGCTGGGCACGGGCGAGCTGTTTCTGGATTCGGTTATGAAAGACCTGAGGGATCTGTTCTCAGAGGTGGAAGTCAAGGTGAGCTGAGGGGCCTGGGACGTTGGGGTTGCAAGGGGGGGTTAAGGGCTGGTGTTCAGGAGTGTGGGGAGCACACGGTGCTGGGCACGGGGGAGCTGTTCTTGGATTCGGTAATGAAGGACCTGAGAGACCTGTTCTCCGAGGTGGAGGTTAAGGTGAGCAGAGGGGATTGGGGTTTTAAGGTTTGGGGGTTTAGGGGCCTATGGGCTGGAGTCTGGTTGGCTGTGACATGCGTGGAGGAGTCAGGCGAGCACACGGTGCTGGGCACGGGGGAGCTGTTTCTGGACTCCTTTATGAAGGACCTGAGGGATTTTTTCTCCGAGATGGAGGTTAAGGGGAGTTGGCAGCTTGGGGTTTAACGTTTGGAGTTTCAGGTTTAGGGTTTTAACCTGGCTGAGAGCGTCTAGGGTGGAGGAGTCAGGCGAGCACACGGTGCTGGGCACAAGGTATTATTTTTGGACTCTGTCATGAAGGACCTGAGAGATCTGTTCTCCGAGATGGAGGTCAAGGTACGCCCTTGGGGATTGGGGGTTACAAGAGTTACAAGGGTTTAGGAGTTTTAGCCCTGCAGGGAGTTGGGAGGGTGGAGGAGTCGGGGGAACACATGGTGCTGGACATGGGATAACTGTTCTTGGATTCTGTCGTCAAGGATCTCAGGGACTTGTTTCCCGAGGGGTTTGGGGGTTTCAGGGGCTGGGGATTGGAGTCCGGTTGGCTGGCTGTGTGACGAGGGTGGAAGAGCTGGGCAAGCACACGGTGCTGGACACGGGGAAGCTGTTTCTCGACTCCGTCATGAAGGAGCCCGAGAAACCTGTTTCCCAGGAGGCTTAGGTTTGGTTGGGTTGGCCGTGTCGGAGAGTTTTGGGAATTCTTAATCGCCTCATGCATTCTGCGCTTGCCCCTCCTGCCC